ACTAAGTGTGTGCTGAAATATAGAGATTATGGGGACCAAAAACGTTGTGGAGACAAATGTTTGTCTCCACAACTCACTTTTGACTTCCCTAACAAAAGAAACTGTCCCTTACACACGGTGACAGCCTCAGCACACACACACAAATGCATGTCAATATTACATACATGAAGTCTATCTCGTGTGGACATCCCTCGCTTATTGTGGAGTTGAGTGAACTCAGTGAAATTACTAATGTTCTTGAAATGTGTACAATATTTCGAGCGAGAGTTTTTGATGATGATATCCGTGACCATTCCTCCTCACTTTGCGATGATACCCATGACCCCTCGTTCACACAACCTACATAACGTGGACCTTTTTGTTAACGGGTCCGTACTAGGTTGGCACACATACTGGTACACACCACGTGGCATACACTAATTGACTTTCACTTGACCACACCCATAATCCAATTACCGTCCCAGACAAACCACAATATCCCCTCTGCCGCTCAAATGTAATTATTGTTTGGTTCATCATACCGTAAAGGACTACTTCGCCAACGAATATGAAATACCCTTCACCCCGAGCCACATCAGAGCATTATTCATGCACTGAGCTATCTCCGAGCAACACGTGGCGGGGCGGCCGTCCTTGCCACGACATTTTGTATGTGCAAAGGACAGATACGGAAATCCCAGCATCCAATTATTCTTGAACAGTCATGGGGAACACAGCCACTAAGTTTTCCAGAAATCAGGGGAAAAAAGTTGTGTCTGTGGCACCAGTCTACCACGAACTCAAGACCACGAACACAGGCACTGAGTGAACGGTGGTTTGGACAAGGTAATCATGAATTTTTGCACCCTTAAAAAAAAAACTGTAATGTTATTCAAGCTAGTACCTGTACAAAGAAAAAGAGAGGCAGGGGTGAGACAAGAAGTTCTTAAATAAAGAGGAATAGAAAATACATACAGGTGCATGTATATTTTTAAAATAAATAACCAATCTAGAACTTCACATGAAATGTAACATGATGTTACCGTAGGTGGAAAATGTGAGAAAGTTTTCAATGATTACCTCCTTTTCAAAATTCTGATAGGCTATGCCTAGATAAAACTTGACTCCCGCTTCTGAAAAGTTTTCCCCATTGGGAGAACTCCCGTCTTAATGGCTGTCTTTCTCAGTCCCCCCCCCTCATGAATAAATCCCTTTCACGCTGAAGCTACATGTAGGGATAAGTGGTTTTCTAGTCAGGAAACACTTGACAGCCTTTCAGTCAGCCGAGCCTGTGCTGCATGCCAGGAAACATGACTGGTGCCACCCATATCCTTTCCTAAGGTCAACAACATTTAAAGAATCCTTGCTTCAACGATTCAAAGCTATGCCCTCCCCTCCCCTCCTCCCTTCTAGAAGCTAACATCAACCATCCCAGCCTGGGTACTAAGAGAACTGTCAGTGCCATGGGGAAAGAAGCAGCGATTGTCCGGAAAGATTAGAGAAGCTTGATGACATACGACTTTACAGAATGAGAAGCGAGTAGAGGATGATGCTTCCAAACAAAGAGGGTTTGGATTAAAGAGGAGGTTGATTCATAGCCAACAATGAAGGTTGATGAACTTGAAGATGGGAAATGGCTGACCTAAGTTCAAGAGATAAACTACGCACGTGGAGCTACCATTCAAGAGAGCAGTACTTGTATGAGCATGAAAATGTGCACTGGAGATATTCAGTAGCCGAATGTATTATTCTTTGTCGTTATTTTTAGAAGGGTTTGAACATTCAAATGGTAAACTAGATACATGTGTGTTGATTCAGATCCACTTCTAGCTTCGGTCCCATCACCCATGAACTCCTAACATAACTACGCCCTCCAACAGTTTTATTGGGTACCTTTTCCTTCATGTGCCAATGTTCAGGTGCCGATTCCATTGGGCTACCAAGCAGACATATACTGAACGAACTGTGTTGAAGAACTGTGTTGGAAGAAACGGGTTACCAGCCATGCTGCACTGACGAATTGCATTAACCCCTTAACGCTGGTAGACGGTGACAGCCGCGGCTTTGTGTGAGGATTAGTGCATACCACACTTACATTCTATTCATCATGCAGTTTCAATGCGGTTTCAATGTGGGCCTGCTGCTGGACAAGGCTTTGCATACAGGGCATACCGCAGCCCAGCAGTTGCGGTCAAAAGAATCCTGGCATTAAGTAGTTATCCGAGACTGGTTCTATTCTCATTTTTGCCTAAAGCAAAATTTAGTTGAGCATGTTTAGCACTGTTTTCTGCCAGGCAGCTCCATGAAATTGGACCCTGGAGCATTCTTTGCGCTCAGCAATACGGGTTTGTACACACACAGTTGAAAACTAGTCATATACATTCCAAGTTAACATGTAATCGGGGGCGTGCGGCCCAGTGGTTAGAGTTTGCAACTACTGATTGTAGGGTCAAGGTGCAAATCCTGCTCTGGAGCCTAAGCTGCCCCCTTGAGAAAGTCAATTTGACCTCACAGGAGTACAAATGGGTACCTGTGAGGTCCGAATGGGTCGTTGTGTTTACCTAGCAGCACCTGAAATGATTACTCTGATGATTGCGTACTCCCTAGTAAATTGAGACGGTTCATCTCGACTTGCTGTTTCTAGAACAAGTGGGCGACAGGGTAACATAGCGTCAAGTGCTTTTAGAGTCTTTCGGCAATGAAATGCACAACTTACATTGCACATCATATTATTGCCACTACACGTGCGGCCAGGTGTGGATGGAACATGTCATTTACGGTAGAGTTCACGAGTAGGCCACACAGTGCAGTCATTCCCGAGTGCAAAAGTGTCTTCAAAACTCCCTTGATATTTGTTCATTTTCAGCAGTGGCTGCTTCCAACCATAAGACAGGTACAGGCAACAGGAAAAATAAAATTGGCAAGACCATTTGTGGTGGCTCTCTCAACACAAAAGAGAAACAGAAACCACCGTGGTTTGGAACATCACACCACATGTTCAATCGTCACATCAAATGACGTGAGTGCTTAATTAGGTCTAGTATCAGATGCTATACTTGGACAGAGCCCAACACAACTTGACATATTTGGTTTTCAAGTGGTAAACATATGGTCTAGACATCTGGTCTGGCAAGCTAACAAACCCCACATCCTGCACGTAGGCAAATGACTTGCATTTGATTTGGACGCAGAGTATCAAGTAGCCATTATTAACATTGTATTTTTCTTTGAAACAGGAACTCTATTAAATCCTGCAGTACTATTTCTATTTCTGTCTATTTATAACTACTTCTGTCAGAGTTCTCTGAATCAAAAATCCTAGAATTTCTGAATAATGATGTATTCATAGCATCACAGTAATCCAAACAGTATTTTACAGGTGAAGAGAAGCATGCTTCATTATAAAATCCCCATAAGAAAATGAACCAAACTGATGGATACCACGGGTACAGCCATAAAAAAGTCACAGTGTCTGGAAAGATAGAAAGCTATGGTTGTTCCCTGATGACATCAACACACCCTGCAGCAAATAGGAAAGTACATCACGCTTTGGCCCACTGCATTCTTTTTCCTGTGCATTCCTACTTACATCTTTCGTATGGGCACTGATGTAGTTGGCTGTCTCAGAATCGTCGGCACATTTTGTCAGCCATTTCTTGATGATATCGCAGTCTGCCGGCGCGTGGTAATTGTTACAACAATTAAAACTGTGAAATGAAAAAATGCAAACAAAGCCCATTCCAGACATCATACACACCTTCTGATGAATCTAGCAAGAAGTTTTAAAGGAATGAATGACACAGAATCTAACAATATATGTTCAAAAAGCCGTATCCCCTTAGAGTGATCCCTGTTCACCACTTCCCAGGATGTATCGTGTTATTGGGGTGTGATCCCTGGAAACATGGTGTTTCAGATTTAATGGCTTCTAGCTAGCGCCCCCCAACAGAGATATTGACGAATGGGATGAGCCACCAACGTAGGGCTGGATAGCTCAGTTGGTAGAGCACTGGTATGGTGTTCCAGAGGTTGCAGGTTCAAATCCCGCTCCAGTCACTTTCTTTGTTCATCTTTATAATCATTTATAAGCACCTAGTCAGTTTCCCTAAATAGTTTCTTTCATAATATCTAAAGGATACACAACCTGTAGCAATTAATAAAAACAAGACGGAAGTGATTTTTCTCCATTGTCATTTGCGTTGGGCTCTGTACAGCGCCATAATGAATAGTAACAGTGTCAAGGACAGTCAATCCCAACATCTAATAATGTCAATACGGCCGTTTCACAATAGTGCGCCACAAAGAGTTCGCAACGCATTGGCCTATCCCAATGCGCGAAATTTGTCAACCCAATGCCCGTTTGGAAATGGTTGACAAATTTCGTGCGTTATGATTGGCCAGCGTGTTTCAAACTCTTGGTGGCGCACTATTGTGAATCGCCCGTATTCTCCTGTCTCTTACCACCAAGATGTCTTGCATTGCGTGCATTCCACTCTTTTGCTCTTGACTTCGGCTGCATAGACAACTATGGTACAATCAGCGCCTGGGCAGAACCTGAGGCTACTGTGATTCTGAAAGACAACCATTACGTGATCATGATGAATTGAGACTCTTAACTCACACATAAGAATGTAGGAAGCATGCAGTCCCAACTCCAAATGCACTACCAAGTTGGTATTATGCCTTTTTAAAAGAGTCATTTTTTTCAGGTTTATAAAAACACTGTTTTGAGGGTAAAGCACCTTGATAGATTCCTTGAAGTAGAAGTCGTTGTATCTCAGTTTGTGGTGCTCCGACTGTAGCAAGGGTATGACAAAATCCTCTGGCGCCCTCATGAGACACTTCTCAGCCATGCAGCAGATGCCTTGGAGGATTTCACACAAAAGAATGCCAACTTTAAGAAGTTATGAGTACAATGGAGGGTTTGCATGGCTGTCATCTTGCAGGTCAGTGCTTTTGTTCCTCAGAATATGCACAAAGGAAGTTTCCCCATGGAATACAACAACTGCCTTGCCATAAAGCCTCTATTGGAGGCTAACTGCAAAACAGAGTGAACAGTTCTTGGACCAAATCTCCAGGTATGATCAATTTTTAGATAATGAAATCTAGCAGTTACAACTGGAAAATTCAATCTGAGGGGTCAAAATTCATGAAACTGAAGCCAGTAGCCACAGACAAAAAGAAACTCAGATTTGGGAATATCAGTCTGCATAGCTCCCTTGTCAGCTTTCTACCTTCAGACTGACATTCCAATAGATAAGTTCTAATAATTTTTCCTGACAGATCTCCCGTGACACCAACCTGTTGAGCTTCCTTCATTGACGAGCACCACGACGTGCTGTGACCAGCAGTCCTTGCAGAAAAAATGTCCACACAGCAGTGACCTCAGCTGCTCTTTGGACTGGTTCTCTATACAGACTGGGCAGACATAGTTACTGGGGATGGCAGGTTCCTGGACAACAAGTGTGGCAAACAGTTAACTTGCTTTTACAAATGGGTTGACTTACAGCTAAAAACTTACAGTATATACATGCCTTGTCAAATCCCAAGTACGCAAATCAAATTCTTAACTTCAAGTGAGGGCTTGTGATGGAAGGATTACAATTACATGAGTAAAAAATGAAGTTATAAGTAGAACAACAGCATAGTAGTGGAATAATAAATAAGAACATTGTTCACATGACGTACAAAATTCTCCACTGAACAGAGAAAATTGGCACAAGGGATGCTCAGGCCCGGGTGTTCTTAAACACACCACAAGTGCACCATAGCGGTACTCTCCCATATGCCTTTGTTTCCGGTTAAAATTTGAAAAAAGCTGTAAAACATCAAAGGAATTGTTCCCTCAAACTGTAAAACAGTTCAAAAATAAACCAGAGTACTGTACGTGAAGGAAGAAGATCGGTTTTCAAAAATGGGTTTAGTTATTAAAAATTACGTTTTTCCTACTGCACTTTGTGGGTTTGCCATTTGTTCCCAACTTAGAGGACTTGAATATATGCCAGCTTTGGACATTACCTCCATGGTACCTTTTCCATACACACATCATGTACATTTCCGACTTCTGAAATCCCAAGCTTCCTCAGAAATTCCAACCTTGCACAAGCTTCAACTGGTTCATGTTTCCGCTGTTGGACTCATTAGGCATACACTCCAGGAAATTGTGTACAATTTTCTGAAATTTGGGCCAAGGCACTGGAGAGGTTTGGATGCGGGCCCGGAAAAACATGCACCTGTGGAAGCCTCTGGGTTGCGGCTGCTGCCACTCTCACAGACGCATGTACTATCTTTAGCCGCAGCCCCCCATTTTATACAAGGAATAAACGTAAGTCACTACCATATACATGTACATGTAGGTACACTCCCTGTGCAGAATGAAGCCTGCTATGCACATGTATCCATGGAAAACTTTTTTGTTTGTACAGTATCTATTGGCATCTAGGTCAGTATTCTAACGATGCATCAACAAAGCCAAATTGTACAAAATGCTAATTGCACAATGATTTAATGAGCGTTTAGTTTACTAGGTGTAAAAAACACCAACCTGTGCATTTATGCTGCAGATACATGTACTATAAACATGAATGACAAAAAATGGGCTCATTATTCTGTGCCAATGTTGTACTTGCATGCTGCATTTTTATGGACATAATCTGGAAGTTGTTCCTTTTTCTATTATGGTCTACAGTTAGGCACATGAATTCAAAATGTCTGTGCTAAGAAGGCGTCAAAGCCTCTCCACACCAAAATTACAAGTTAGTGCTCCAGTAATTCAGTATAGTTCTACGGTCACTACAAAGTCAAAATACTGATTATCATCATTACCTTTGTGAGGCTGCTGTCAGCCGATGGAAGAACTCCACACTCAACCAACAAGTTGGCTATGTCTTGCTTGGTTCGACTCTGGATAGCGTCTAGGTTCCACTGATGAGACATGAGGAGAGCTTTAGCCGCATAGCAGGGAACCTTGAAAGAAAGAAAATATGAGAAAGACCACATCTTTTGACAGTGAATTCTTTTTTTTCTAATTCCTGGTTATTAAGGTGACCCTCAAGGCAGCTTTCTTTAGAGTTCGAGTTGTACGTATTCCACTATCTCAAGAGTTTAAAATGGCTTTGACTTCACATACAATAAAAAATAAAGGTCTAGGTTACTGTAAGGCACGTGTTTGCAGTCGGCAATAATCTAGACTCTGGTCTTAATCTTCACCAATGCAAATGCATGTACATGTATGTTGGCACATGCTGACAATGGACGGATGTTTCCTTAAAACCAAATAAAGCCTCATGTACATGTATATATCCCTCAAGTCTTGGGTCAAGCCAGCCGTACCAGTGAGGTTTACCTGCTAAGATGTGGCCACTGGCCTGTGTAATACTTTGTCGTTTTAAAGCCAAGCAGATTACTCAAGTACTCGCAGTACTTAGGGTCCCATTTATACATGTATCTGAAGTGAATAACCTGCTATTTGTACCTCATGAACCAGGAATGCTTTTGTCTCATTTCCTGAGAGTACTGAGTACTCAAAATAGTCAGGGTCTGGTACCCAGCATCATATACTGGTACAATGTACCTTGAGTGCATCAGCAGCTGTCTCTACCTCCTGACCCAGGAATACTTTTGCCTCACCTACAGTGAGTACTGAGTGCTCACAATACTCAGGATATGGTAGCCAGTATCATACATGTAGTACTCATAACGATCAGGGTCTGTTACTCAGTATCAAGTACCTTGAGTGCATCAGCAGCCGTCTGTACCTCCTTCGCCAGGTATGCTTTTGCCTCATCTACACTGAACACTGAGTACTCATAACACTCAGGGTCTGGTTCTCGTTCATCTTCGGGTTCCATCTCATCTTGCCCCTCATCATAGTAAGCATCAAAGTCTTCATATTCGTCATACTCGTACTCATCTGACTGACTCTCCATTCTTACCGGTGGAGTTTTTAATCTATGTAAAGGAACACAAGAAACAAAACACAATATGTCTCCTGTGGCCTAGAAGCATTTAGACACCATCCAATATTCCAATCCAATGAAAATATTCCACCCAGAGGATTCATCCAGTATCATCATTCACATCAATAATTACTGTTCTTAGGTTTTAATCACATTGCAAGAGTATCATTCCACAACATGTAACAGGCAAATTATTCTTAACAATCCAAAATACTGAATTTTTAAACTGACAAGAAACCACAACTACAGTAAAATCCTTTTTTGGACTTTACAAGTACTTACTGACCCCTGGTGGACACGCCTTTTGAGGGCTCCACACATGTTCCACCTATGGCGTATGAACTAGTTTGAGCTTCTGTATAACTGTGTACAAACTCAGTGGGACTCACTCAAGTGTGGGGGATAAGTATAGCCTTGGACACATTGCTTCCACCTGCACAGCACATACATGTACATGACATATAGAATTCACCAGAACGTGTCCAAATGTCCTCTTTGAACTGACGCAGGAAATCCCTGCATGTTTATAAGTCATCCAGTGTGAAGAGATTTTTAAAGCTGGCCTGTGAAGTACAAATTTGGATACTCAAAACCACAAGGGAAATGGCCATTGTCCAGTTCCACTGTACTGGTTTGCATCATACCCAAAGTCTAACAGTAAAAATGCCTGTTCAATATGTACAGTCGAATGTCTTTAACAAGAGGTCCTTCGGACTTGGAAAATTACCTTGTTATAACAGGAACCTTGTATCATCGGGAATTCAAACAATTAAAAAACAAAGGATTGGGACTTCAATATGTTCTTGTTATAATTACCTTGTTATAACAGGAACCTTGTATCATCGGGAATTCAAACAATTAAAAAACAAAGGATTGGGACTTCAATATGTTCTTGTTATAAGCAGAATCTTGTCTTAACAGTGCTCTTATTAACGAGGTTCGACTGCACATGTGAAAACGTGGAAATGATAAATAAAAACGTGATGACGACTGTGTGTAGACATGTAAATACAGGCAATTTATACACCTGCCTGTATGTGTATATACTGCACATGTATACATACATGTAGTAGGCATGGAAATTTTCGCAAGACTCTCTTTCAAGATTTAAAAGAATGGGATTGAGACCTCCTACCATATATGCAGATAGGCCACTGAAGTACTATTCATGTTCAAAATACTCAGACTAGCGCACCTGTTATCTGGATTTGTCTCCACATGCACTATATGTACGTGTACATGTACAGTACATGCACATCACGTAAAGAATGTTTTAAGCAAAAGATAACTGATGTGAACTATGATACAACTCTGCATTACTTACTGACATCAAAGTCCACACAGCCTACTGTATAATACAGAGACAAGCTTGTTTCCTTGTACAATATTGTCTACTAATCCTTGCGCCATGCAAGGTCAACATGCATTACTAAATGTTTGCTCCTCCCAAGCCTTGAAAGGACAAAATGATTATCACAAGCACCATACACACACAAAGAATTCTGCCATTTTCAGGATTGCCAACACAGGAACAGTGTGCACGGTGTGGCAGTGTGCTCGTGGACCAAATGGCCGTTGCTTGTCACATTTGCCTTTTGGGCATACACTGTACATGTACAGTGTATATAATGAGGAGCTCTGTGACTGGTCTATGTGACCCCAAGTGACTTCAACTAGTCAGCCCAGTCGTGGCCAAGCAAAACACACACAATGGAAATGGCTGCACCCAAATTCCATGTACTTGTGTATCAACTGTAGCCATACACCGTACATGTACACGTAGTCAACCATTTGGTCATGTTAGTTGTTTTCTTGTCTTTAAGTGCACACGTGAGCCTCATGACTTGGTTGCCTATCGGAAAGTACATAATTTGTTTTTATATAACCAGCATGGCTTTGACTCCTTTTTTTCCTGTACACTGGAGTACAATTATGTAAACCGCTTTACAGGCGACTTTTGGGTTGCATCAAGCAGTCCTTTTATGGGGGTTCATTACCCTCAGCACCCTGTTCCTATTATGAGGGAAAAAGTTCTCCCTTTTCGAAACAGCTTATCTAAACAAGTTGTTGCTGATGACCTCTTTCATATCAGAAAGAAAAGAAAACATTCCTTTTGGTTTTTGAGGGAAATTGCAGCTTACATGACCACCTCAAAGGGCTGTGAACGACGACCAATTAGCGAATGTAGTCTGGTTCCTTGACCTGTATAGAGATTTGTTTTGAAATTTGAAATGTGTGGTTTTCTTGCCTAAATACTATCAAAATTTACTTTTAAGCTACCGGTTGGCCTATCGGGATTGAATAATGGTTCCTTAAGGTCAAAATGTTAGTTTGAGAAAGTGGACTTTGTTTCCTTATTATGAGAACAGGGTGCTAAAGGTAATGAACACCTTTTATGGGTACACACCTCCTAAAGAATCCATATTGAACGTCATGCAGAACCTATGGGAGAAAATGCCCATTAGTCGAAGTAACTTGGACTCTACAGTATCGCCTTTTTTATTGGACATGGTCAGGCGACAGTAAAAAAGGCAAAGCAAATCCAAGTTACTAGGACTTTGCCCTAATTCTCTATGGGGTTTGTGGGAGCCCAACATGCCCGATGGACATTGAACCCCAGACATGCCAAAAGTCCAAAAGAGAACGTGAAAAATAGGCCTAGGCCTACATATTCACTGTACTACATCATGTCTCTACTCATCAGCATGATGACCTTAAGCAAGGCTTAACAACTGTTATGCCCCAACTATAGCGTCGGTCCCAAATATTGTTGGGACAGTCCCAACTGTAGTGCTGCAGTTTGGCTGGCCCAACTAGTGTTGACCAATTTCTATACAAAATTTCTCAACCATTGAAGTTTCACACTTGACACAATTCATCTCAAAAGGCACTTCATCATCTGATCATGTTCATCGATGACATAACATTGTAAACAATATCACTTTGGTCTTTGCATCCTGGGCACGCGCACACTGGGCCTCTGTGCTGTGGTTGGACCAGCCCAACTACATGTTTTTATAATTGGGACGGTCCCAACAGAAGTTGGGACAAGGCCTAATCATCAATGACCATCATCATGCATGCCATGATCATCCCTCAGTCAAGTCAGTTCACCATGTTCACCCATCAGTTGACCATGTTCATGCAAATTATAGACTAAAATAAGACGAAAATAGTGTCCAATCAAACAAAATAACAATTTACTCAGTACCTCAAATATTACCCATGCAACGTTTACTGATACAGTAAACAGAACGCTTTCACATATCGAATGTATCCAATCCAATTTCCATACCTTGACGACCCCTCCGCCATTGCAATTTTTTCCTCAAAACAACTGGCAAGCTTTAATTGTTCAGTATCGACTACATTTTTCGATATAATTATTTGGTTTATATCGACTCTGCCGTCGTTGATGTTAAACGTTGTCAGATTTCCTCGATCAGTATCAGTATCGTAGTATTCGAAGAAGAGAATCGTTAAAATAAAGAGCTTGCTTACCGTGGGGACTCCCCGTGTGTTCGAATAATATTCCTCACACCATGCTCACACTGTGCCCAGCTCAGCGCGGTATGCAAAACGTGGAAATACCTGTGAAAAACACTCTCGTAAGTTGTCTGTTGTTAACTGAGTACCATATTCATTCTGATCAAAGTTGTCAACGTGGAAAAGTAAGAATGCCTGCATGTACATGTATCTCGTTTGCAGATTAAAGAACTAGAACAGTTTTTAGTGTATGACGTGAAAAGTCTCCGTTCATGGTGGTACATGTACACTCACAATTTTCACCCTTTTCAGTTTTGGTGGCCTCAGTGTGGAGCTGGATGTAATACATCAAATTACCTGTGTTGATCCGATTTTTGGGTTCCATTTTAGGGCCTAGGGCCTCGGTTTTTAGTGATGTGAAAATTATTCTGTGAATTTATTTGAAGTTTAAAATATCCCACATATCTGTCGATTTTTTTGGTAGTTGCAGTAGCAACTTGTGTATGTACGTGTAGACATGGTAGACCTAGGCTTTCGTTTTTTACATATTAGCAAAATATTGCAGGACAAAAATGTACTTGTATAATTGCATTGATTAAAATAAACAAGTTTTGTAAAAGCCCAAACACTAACAGTTCAAAATAAAGAGCAAAACTGTTTATTATTTATGATCAAACAGCCTTGGCGTGTTTAGTGACTTTTACTTTTGTATCTGTAAGTAATAATAATTATTGTAATTCCCTTCTCTCCTGAGATCAGGGGGCTAAAATTGTCCAGAAATTTTCTTTGCAGGAACCAGGCCACAATGTTTAGTGCAGTATTTGGGACAGTGAAATCACTACTCCTTACAGCAACCAGCAAGCAGGAAAATTCAAGCCAATCTACTGAAAATAAGGACTGGAAACCTCAAGAAGATTGTGCAAAATATGCTAAAAAGTGTCCTTATGAGGGACTTGAGTATGGTCAGTTTATTGACAGTTTACACAAGGAAGATGATGCCAAAGAAAAATCTTCATTCAGGGGCAAAGTGACAGATCTCCTGTATGGCTACGGCCTGATCAACAGCAATGTCTACTTTACCTATAACTGCATGGTTGGAGGTCAGCGTCCTCTCGTTGGGGATTCTGTGGATGTAGTCGCTGTCCGTGACCATGGCATGGGTGGCTGGAAAGCCACCAGGGTGAACTTGTGTGAAGATTGGGACAGAGATGATCAAGCATACCGACAGAATCCTGAAACGGGCACTCTAATTGGAACGATTACCAAAGTAGCCCAAGATTCGGGGTTCATCAACGAGACAGTGCCTTTTGACCAGGACTCGCTGGTCTTTGGCTACAAACCCTGCCGTGGTGATTGGATCCAGGGTGACCTGACCTGTGACCCTTCCACCGATAGAACTCAGGCACGCAACGTGAGACCCCTGCGTGAGCAGAAATTCTCGGGGTCAGTAACCCACTTGTTCCCGGGCTACGGTCACGTGAATGGAAGGATCTACTTCACGTTTCGGGTCTGTGAGGGAGGATGGAGACCAAGGAAGGGAGATCCTGTAGAAGGAAGAATGATTGAATCCAAACAGAGTAAAGGCAACTGGAGGGCAGTGACAATGAAACCGGACACAAGAAGTGGCAGACTTAGGTAATCATCACCATCTCCACAAACTTGCGGCGCAAAGCGCTGTTTGGGTACACTTCATTAAAAGTATAAATTTGGTCATTTTGCTTCACAAACTGACATGAAGGTACTTAGTCTTGGCATGCTGACAAGCAATGTAAACAGTTGGGTTTTACATACTAAACACACCAGCATGCTATGGATATATGTACATGTACAATTCAGAAAAAATGTACCTGTGTAGAGTTTGACACAAATTCATTCCATCTGTATATGTTTAAAGATATAGTAGTTATTACATGTAACTGAAGCCCTTTCTGAGTTTAGAAGTTCAGAAAAGTTTCAATTCCCGAAAACAAAATTGTCTCGAGAATAGATGCAGTGCTTGTTAGGTCAGTACTTTCAATGTTTATTAAGAATGTCCCAGTTGAATTCA